AAAGAAAATAATCCTATTCATAATAGCCACCAAAAAATAAAATGCCTAAGAATACAGCTAACCAGGGAGGTGGAAGGTCTCTACACTGAGAATTACAAAACATTGATAAGAGATATCAGAGATGACACAACCAAATGGGAAAACATTCCATGATCATGGATAGGAAAAATCAATATTATTAAAATGGCCATACTGCCCGAAGCGATTTACAGATTCAAGGCTATTCCTATCAACGTACCAATGACATTCTTCACAGAATTAGAAAAAGCTGTTCTAAAATTCACATGGAACCAAAAAAGGAGCCCAAATAGTCAAAGCAATCCTAAGCAAAAGGAACAAAGATTGAGGCATCACATTATCCAACTTCAGCTATACTACAGGGCTACAATAACCAAAATAGCATGATACCACTACTAAAACAGACACATAGACCAATGGAACTGAATAGAGAGCCCAGAAATAAAGTTGCCTACCTACAATCATCTTCAACAAAACCAACAAAAGCAAGCAATGAGGAAAGGACTCCCTAGTCAATAAATGGTACTGGGATAAATGGCTGGCTATATGCAGAAGGTTGAAACTAGACCCCTTCCATATACAGTAATTGTCTCAAGACTTACATGTAAAACCTAAACTACAAAAACCCTTGAAGAAAACCCAGAAAATACCCTTCTGATCACAGACCCTGGCAAATATTTCATGGCAAAGACACCAAAAGCAATTGCAACAAAAGCAAAAATTGACAAATGGGACCTAATTAAACTAAAAAGCTTCTGTACAGCAAAAGAAATTATCAACAGACTAAACAGACAACCTACAGAATGTGAGAAAATGTTTGCTTCTTTGTCTTTCAACACCACGACTATCCCCTCACCTCTAGGTCAGGAACTGGCAGACAATGGCCACTTGTTTATCTATAGCCCGTGAACTAAAAATGGTTTCATATATGCTTAAATGGTTTTTGAAAAAACAAAAGAAGACACAACAAAATTATAGGAAATACAAATTTCAATGTCGTTTTATAAAGTTTTATTGGAACACAGTCATGCTCATTTGTTTACATAGTGTCTATCTATGGCTGCTTTACATAATAATGGCAGAGTTGAGTAGTTGCAACAGAGAATGTATGGCCTGCAAATTCAAACTCTAAAATATTTACTGTCGTGCCTGTGACAAAAAAGATTTGCCAACTATTGCTCTAGGCATTTCTTTTTTTTTTTTAATTTCTAATTCAATAGTGAAATTTTGTCTATCAACTAGTAGGTATGAAGTTATTTTTTAGATTTGGAGTTATACAACAGAATTCCTAACTTTGTTTTGATATGTAGATAAGCCCTGATCCAGCTTATTTTTTCTTTGCTAAGTAACTGAAACTCTTCACAGCATGAGTTGAAACTGACAAATTTCAATTTATGACAAATTGAAGTAGAAACTTAAAGCTCAAAACCCTCTAGGCCAAGCATTTTTCTGGGCATTGATACTCCTCTTGGGCATCCCCTTCAGTGGTCTTGCAGCATGAATCACACCCCTTTCTGGAGAGACTCAAGGCATATTTAGACAGCAATAAAGGACTAGAACATTTTTTCTCATATTCATACTAAATCTGTTCCCCTAAGTTTTCTACCCATGAGCCGCAATTCTGTGTTTGAAATCCCAGAGTATAAGCCCCTTCCATGCAAAGGTCCTTCCAAATAATTCAAGACAGCTATTGCATGAGTACCCATTCCTCCATGTTTAAATTCCCAATTCCTTGAACCTATCTTCAAAGTATGAGGTTTTGAGTATCCTCCCCATCCTATTCACTTCATTCTGAATATGTTTCAGTCTGTGTTCCTGTTTTAGGTGTCATTTATAAGTAGAGTTATCCTGCTAGGTTTTTACTTTTATTAATGCAGTCTCTACTTAGTAAACAATACCTTGCAAATAAACATCTCCAATTTTCTGAATAAACCCACCAAATCATCTGTTTTCTCAAATTGGATCAGTGGAAATATAAGCATTATGACTTTCTTTTCTTTTAGTTGCTTACATACTTTATGCCTTAGGTCATGGCTGATGGTGGCATATCAACTATATTACCTGAAAAAAAATTGGAAGATGATTTAAATGAAAAACCTGAGGGCTATGATAGTCTATCCTCTATGCACCTTGAAAAGAATCATCAGCAAATCTATGGTGAACATGTCCCCAGGTAAAATAATAATACTATAATTTTACTTTTAATTCTAAGCTCAAGGAGCATTTTAACTGAATACTTGAAGTGATTATATTTTTATTTCTTCAAATAGGTTTTTCGTTATGTATGCTGATGGATCAGGAATGGAACTTCTTCGAGACAGTGACATAGAAGAATATCTATCTTTGGCATATAAAGAACCAAATACTGTTGTTCTCCAAGAGCCAGTGCAGGAACAGCCAGGTAGAGGACCCATACTGTGTGGAATGCACTGTGTCTCTTCGCCAATTCTCATTCTCCTTACTATCCAGTATGTCTTCATGTCGTCTTACTTTTTCCACTTTGCTCACTTTACTGCTCTGCTTTGGAAAGTAGAGCAGAAATAAGTTGATATGACTTATAGCTTATATAGCTACTTGAATTTAGGTATATATCAAGATGTATCTGAGCACCAATCTGCGAAAGCTGAGTATGTATCCCTCTTCTCCTATCAGCAGATTTGTATCTGTGTTCAGGTATGTACCAAAGTTCTGATTTATGAGTTCATTTCATCTTGGTAAGAAAAAACAAAGAACAGTGAGATATCTCTTGTAAATTCATTTTTTGTCATTTTGAAGATGTTGCTTTGATGAAATTGATGTATGAGTTATAATGCCAACCTGAAATACCTGGTAAGTTATATAAGCTATATTCATTGGGTGCTTATGTTGTTTTCCTCAACTTCAGGGAAATTGGTGTGTTGCCAGAGGTTAGAGATACATATCGCATTAAGTAAGAACCATCCAATATATGTAATATGTGTATCTAAATATAGATATAAGCCTATATATTATCTGCATACAAAACCTATGTGCTGTGCCTAGGTTTGTTTGTGTGTGTGTGTGTGTGTGTGTGTGTGTGTGTGTTTTCATCTTTGTGTTTTGGGATACATTTTGTGTGCATTTATAAATATGCCTGCATTTCTGTGCCCTTAAAACTTTTAGTGTATCAATGCACATGTGCATGACATTAATACACCTTGCTCTTTGTGAATATGGAACATGGGGGACTCTGACTAACCCCCAGTCAGTGTGGTGCATGTATGGAACTGTGGGAGAATAAGAATTCATCTCACATTGGTTTGTTAGTCATTTAATTAGCCTCTACTTGGCAAACCACCATGTACTAAACACTGGCTGGGTGTTAGGAATACAATGGTGAACTGAAACAGGCATGGACCCTGTTTCAATGGAGCTTGTAGGTTACTGGGAGAGATAGCTGTTAATTATAAAGTCACACAACTGTATGATTATAAGTTGGGATAAGGCCTATGAAGGAAAAGAACGTAGGTCTGAGAGAATCTAACAGAAGAAACTGACATAGTCTAGAAGGCTTCCCTGAAGACACCTGAGCCAAAAGCTAGTGGGTAGGTAGTGGTTAATTAAGGTAAGAGAGAGAGTTTTCTTGGAAAAGAAAACATAAGAGAGAAAGCATAAAGCATTGGAAAACATGGGTTGGGGGAAAGGCCAAAGTAGCCGAAGCACAGAGGGGAAGAACAGTACAAGTTGAGGTAGGGGCAAAAGAATGTTAAGGGCCATCTTTTATCTCACAAGCAATGTGAAGGCAAAAAAGAGTTTTCATCATGGACTAACATAATCAGTCACCCTGACTGCAAGGGAAGGTTCACTCACAGAGTATATATAGGTGGCAAAGTCAGTTGTTGCTATAGTCTAGAGCAGGATCTTTTAAAGACACATCAAGTAGGTTTCACAGAGAGAGAAAAAGGTGGACTCAAGTTTATTGGGAGAACTGACAGAACTTGTACGTGGTTGGTGAGGGACAGTGAGGTGTCAATGAATACTTTCAGGTGATCTAAATCCAGTCTCTAGGTGTCACAGTGACTGAAAGCTTCATCCTTCTTATTTGTTTGTAAGGTTCCTAAGTATAGTCATTGTGTCTCATTAATCTTTCGTGTCTAAGGCTATTCAAAAGGAACTTGTTGAATTTAGTGAATGCATTTTCATTTTCTCTGAGTACTTTCAATGGGTAATGGTCTTCTGACAACTTTCTTTGAACCAGGCACCCTGACCATCACAGTCCTTCGCCCTTTCCATGAAGCATCACCATGGTTAATAAAAAAGGAAGATACAATTGTCCCTCCTAATCTCCAGTCAAGGTCATGGGAAACATTTCCCTCAGTTGAGGTATATAATTTCTTCTAAAAAGTCATTTTATTAGTGTGTACATCCATCCAAGGGCAGTGGACCAGAGTCTTAGGTCTCCTCCCATATATTCATATATTTTCATTCTTATGTAAATTGTTAATGTGCTCAAGGAGTTTTATATTTGAAGATTCTAACATTTGTAGATGTTAGAGGAATACTCTGAGCATTCCAACATTTTAGAGGAATACTCCTGGCTAGCTAATTTCAGTTTTATTTCTTTTATCCTGTATTGTAGGCTTGCACATCTTCCTATAATATTAAAACATTCTTTCTGAGTAAGCCAGGTTACACTTCTGTCATGGAATTACTGATATTATATCATACAGAAATATTTCCTTCTATCATTTCTTATTTGTTCATTTTAACACACAATTTTGGGTCTTTTACTCTCCCTTTTTTTCTTCATATATTAAAAATGCCCAAACTGACCGTCTAAGAATAATATGAAGGATTATACGCATATTGCAATGTTAGAAAGTAAACATTGTAATTATGTCAGTTAAGAGAAGCTCCACCTAAATTTTTTTAAGAATAAAATATCTTGGGTAAGAATCAATGAAGTTCTGCACCTTGCATAATTTACCATTTCATTTTATAAGCAATTTATGTCACATGTCCAACATATGGTCAGGTGTTAAATAATTAAACCAGTGAAGCTATTGATACTATGATCAGAGATTGATAATTGAGATAATGTTTTTGATTGTGATCATTTTTGCTGTCCTACACTAAATCTTGTAATAGCAAACACAGATAATGAACATTTAAGATTACAGTGACTTCCTAGCCCTGTGGTTAAATTTGGTGACTGTAGTCAACATGGTAAGATGAAGGTGACTTGAATTCTGATCCCAATTCTACCCCTTATTAATGTGGGATCTTGGACAAGTCACACTGGGTCTCCATTTCCTTCTCTGAAAATGAGGAGGTCACACCAAATGGCACACTGAGGCTATGTCCAAATTGTAAGTACTACATGATGACAAAGTGTATGCCACGTCTAAGATTATTGAAGAAAGTGTATTCTCATTCTCTGAAACTCTTATGCTCTGACCTTCTACATCTGGTAGGAGTGGCACAGGCCTGCAAAGCCCCTAAGTGGCTGTCACTGTCCAGGCCTTTTGAAATGAAGCACATCCAGCGCACTTGAGGACATAGTAGGGCAGCAAAGCACACCATTCCTGAAAATCAATCACAATTATAACATATAGTGTGAGTTTACTCTCAGGTAGCTTTTTCTGCCCCAGAGATCCTCAGACTCTGGAGGCATGCTTAATCTAGAGTAAGCTCAAAGACGGCCCAGATCTGTGGAATTACTTCTCTTGCAAAGAATCTTTCTAGGTCAAAATGAACACAGAACCTGAAAGTGAAAGACTGCTCAGTGCCAAATGTCTTCGTCTACTTGTGGGTACTAAGAAATAGCCACATCCATTTGTCATAAGCTAGGCTGTTATTACATTGCTTAGCATTCTTCTACATCCTACCCAGGACACCATGCAACAGGATTTTTAAATATCCAGTATCTTGGTAACATAAATAAAGAGGAAAGCATGCCCAGTTCTGTTATTGATTTTCCTTATATTTGCAGAACTTTTTGAGGTTAAGGATTTTCTTCACGACTGTGTCCCTGAAAGGTTGTTATGATATCTACATAATAAATTAACACTTAAAAAGTCTGAATGTGAGAACATTCTGATTTCTTTGGTGGTTTTATTGCTTTGTTTTGTTAACAGAAAAAAACTCCAGGACCTCCGTTTGGCACTCAGATTTGGAAAGGCCTTTGCATTGAGTCCAAACAGCTAGTGAGTGCCCCACGTGCCATACTCAAGAGCCCCAGTGTGCTACAGATGCGCCAGTTCATTCAGCATGAGGTCATAAAGAATGAGGTGAAACTGAGGCTGCAGGTTTCCCTTAAGGTAATGGAATCTAAGTAACCTGACCCAAAAGAATCAGAAACAGAGCAATCGTTGCTCTTGGTTTCCTAAGAAACCTGAAATTATGTAATTCTACCAATATTTATCTAGTGCAACACAAGGATGTCAGTCTTTCAGAGTAGAAGGTTGAGAAGTAGAAAATATTTAATGGTTCCCATAAGGTGTAGAAATTATTAAGAAGCCCAAAGACATTGAAAAAGTAAGATTTTTTGTAAGTGATTTCTATATAGAGCCCTCCATCTTTGTCACTATATAGAAAACTGATATAGTGACCACTGGATAAAGACAGAACCACATATTAATATACTTGTCCATGGAGGAAAAGGCTTTGGAAGTGGTCTAAGAATTTGTAAATATATAGTTAATTGTATGATCATGTCTGTAACATCTCAAGTTTGTTTACTCCCTCAGTACAGGGATTGTATGTGTTTTGTTTATGGTTATATGCCTAGCACCTGGCACAGAGCAGGGTATTATTAGTTATGGAAATGGATCAAATACTTATGAAAAAAATAAAGTACATGTCTCTTGGAAGCAAAGACATGAACTAGGCAAATTCCATTTACAGATAAAATAAAAAAACTATACCTGAAAGGATCCTAGACGTTATCTAACCCAACTCTGTCCATTTTATTGATGAGGACACTTAAGTGCAGAGTTAGAAACAGGGCCTCTCTGAGGCCCCCATGCAGTTCTATCCTGTGGCCCTTAAAGCTGTGCTTTTGCACTTTTTAGGTTTTTCCTGTTAACATATTAAGAAAAAGTCTTTTCAGATTGTTTGACTAGTAAACAGTTCTTGAGCATTGTAAACCTATATATTCTTCATTTTTTGTAATATTTCAAGTTGATGACCATTTTTGTATCTCTCTCTACCTAATTCCTAGTTTTTGTCTGTTTATTTTATTCTGCTGATTTAGGATTACATAAACCATATTCTGAAGAAAGAAGATGAGCTGCAGGAAATGATGGTTAAAGATTCCAGAACTGAGGAGGAGAGAGGCAATGCCGCTGACCTCCTCAAGCTGGTTATGGTGAGAAAATGCCTTGTATACCCGTCGTCTTACTATTATTTCAATATTAAATGTTTCAAGACAAAATACCGTGAAAAAATAGCTGCTTCTGCCACTTTCATGAAGTATTTGCTCTCTCCTCATAATTTTCAGTTTTTGTGGCAATCCATTTCTCTATATATTGCATTTTCCAAATACATTTTAGGCTCTTCCTTCATAAATAATTCTGAAGGCCCTTAAATAAAACTTTTTGTTGTCTTCAAAAGAAGTTGGTATTTATTGAAATACTGAATGATGAGTGAAATAGGAAAGAAGAAGAAATAGGAATTTTTACAACTTAAAATCATTTCCATTTTTAAACATTAGTTAATTGGAAGGAATGACCTACAAAAATTAATTTTATATCAGTATTTTTAAACTAATTCATGTTATAGTAATTTTTACAAAAGAGCAACTTGAGAGAATGTTTCTAAACAAAGTAAGTCTTGTAAGTAATATAATCATCGCCATTAAGTAATTCTATCTTCATTTCAGTCTTTCCCTAAAATGGAGGAAACTACAAAAAGTCATGTTACTGAAGGTGAGTTGCATTTAATATTCTTCTGCAGTATATTTACAAATTTCAAAGGAATCATCTTAAATACACTTATCAGTCATTCTGTTATCTGCTAACAAGACACCATGTACCTGTCTCCATTCTTGTATTGGCCATGTTGTGTTGTGGTGGTTTATTTTTGTAAATCATTCTGCATGTATTGTTCTGCCTGAGCTTTGAGATCCTAGAAAACCACAATTTTCTCTCATTCATCTTTAACTTTCATCCATTAAGTGAAAAATGTTGACATTTGACTTTTATGTTAGCCTCAGCTATAATGAAGATATAGGAAGGAAGCCGTCAACCAACCAACAGCCCGCCCTCTCACACACAGAACTTTTGAGCAACTACACTGTTATCAACAAAGCCTTGCACTGTTTTACACTGTATGTAGTGCAAGTAGTTTACTCTTAGATCTCATTCAAAGAGTATTCATTTGGGGGTATATGTACACAGCCCTAACAAATGTGGCTAGATGGTTTCATAGCTCACAGCAAACAAGCAGTAGAGAATTTGGTGGGATTTTGTTTCGTTGGCCATATGGTAAAAATCATAAACTGGCAGCTATGGGCTTCATTCATCCCACAGATAGGTTCTGAGTATCCTCCACAATGTGGGCTTGTACAGTTGTTTTTGTTGTTGTTATTGTTCTTTATCCAGACTTTTTCCTCTTGAAATCTCACATTGTTACATAGTAAGTTTGGCTAAAGATAATTGGCAGCTGCTTCTTTAGAATGAGCATAACAGGAGTCCATCACAACCCCTTATGTCTCCCTGTCCCTATACTCTGTGGTCACTCTTTTACCCTGGACAACTCCTGTAGTTGGGTGGCCAGATTTAGTGAATAAAAATAGAGAAGGCCTAGTTAAATTTTAGATGAATGACAAATAATAATTTTTGTTAGTATAAGTACACTATAGTTTGGATGTTTGACCCCTTTAAATCGCATGCTGAAATTTGATCCCCAGACCGGGACTGGTGGCTCTTGCCTGTAATCCTAGCACTTCGGGAGGCCAAAGTGGGTGGATCTCTTGAGACTAGGAGTTAGAGTCCAGCCTGGGCAACATGGTGAAACCCCATCTCTACAGAAAATACAAAAAACAAATTAGTCGGGTGTGGTGGTGCATGCCTGCGGTTCCAACTACTCTGGAGGCTGAGGCGGGAGGATATCTTTCGCCTGGTAGGTGGTGATTGCAATGAGCAGTGATCATGCCACTGCACTCCAGCCTGGGCAACAGCGCAAGGCCCTGTCTTCAAACAAAAGAAAAGAAAAGAAAAGAAATTTGATCCCAAATGTTAGAGGGAGGTGGGGCCTAATGGGAGGCATTTGGGTCGTTGGGGTGGATCCCTCATGAATGGCTTGGTACCTTCTGCCCTCTTGGTGAGGTGAGTGAATTCCCACTCTATTAGTTGCCATGAGAGCTGGTTGGTAAAATGAGTCTGGAATCTCCCCTCTCTCTGTTGCTTCCTTTTTCATGATGTGATATCTATACATACCAGCTCCCCTTCCCCCACTGCCATGAGTGGAAGTAGCCTAACGCCCTCACCAGAAGCAGATGCCAGCACCATGCTTCTTGTACAGCCTGAAGAATTGTGAGCCAAAGAAATCTCTTTTCTTTATGAATTACACAGCCTCGGGTATTATTTTATAGCAACACAAAGCAGGCTAAGACACAGTGTGTCCCCGGAAGCCTGGGATATACTTATACTAAAAAGTCGTTTATTTGAAATTCAAATTTAACCAGGGTCCCTATACTTTATCTGGCAACGCTACCCTGTAGCTTTTGAATTTTTAACCTCTGGGACAAGTGAACAGGCACAACAAGGAAAACACATAGGTTTTCCAAAAGTGAAGTAAAAACTAACGTATTTTTTTAAACAAACAGTTCCAGGAAATAAACAGTTGTTGCATACTTATAGCTGTCCCTGACATATTAATTTAAATGATCCTAAATCAACATTCCCCCATAGTATTTCCTAAAACACTCATCTATGAGAAGGCCCCACCAAAAATGAGTTTCATGTTAAAAGAAGTTTGTATAATGCTTCATATTGTCTTATTTTCTTAGAGAGTCACATGTACATTAATTAATTAAAGATGCAGAAAAGTAGTGAAACCTATTTAACCTTATATAAATCAGTGTTCCCCAAGCTCATATAACCATGAAACATGAAAATATTTTCCTCTTTTAATCTCCCGTTGACATCCCATCGAGATCATGTTTTGTGAATAAACTGAGAATTGCTGTCTAAATTGTTGAACAACCATTGTCTTATATTCATGTTCTTAGATTCAGGAAGCAGGAAAATATTCAGCAAAACAATTTCAATATCATGGTTAATTAGTTTTAAGGTTTGCTGCCTCAGATATGAGGAAATTCAGTTAAGCAGAACACCACTTCCCCTAATAATATGGGAGAAAGGAGAGATCACTGCATTTTACATTTTGACTATAAGTTGCGTGTTTTCTGGTAGGATATTTCATAAAAGTAGTCTAGTTTACAGTTGTATTACAACTGGGTCATGTAAATCCTAGTAAACTCTTGATAGATTAAATATAGTCTCTTAACAGGTATCTCAAATGAGTAATTGCGTACTGATTGTGTGTTGTCCTATGAAGAAGTGGGGATAAAAGTTAAATACATCTGTGTTTAAAGTTGCAGCTCACCTAACTGATTTATTCAAGCAATCTTTGGCTACGCCTCCAAAATGTCCATCAGACACATTTAGGAAAGATTTCTTTGAAAAGAAATGGAGGTAAGTTAATCCAATAACGTGTTCTAATTAGTATTAGGCATGCAGTGATTGAGGAAATGGAATATGCAGGTGCTATAACTTTTCGTGACTACATCAATGAATTCACAACCCTTCATCTCCCATACTATTAACAATTCATCATATAGTGGTGAGGGTTTTTGGTTTTGTTTTTAAGCTGAAATCATTGTCCCTTTTCACCATACTTTCCTTTCCTTTCACATAGGCACACAGCATCCTCAAAACGCTGGAAAGAAAAGATAGACAAAACGAGGTAATTCTACCCCAAAATGCACATAAGCACCTGAAAGAGCCCAGAGTAATAGACTCTGAGAATGGGATAGGCCAAAATATCCTACCAGGCACCCAGATGTTATTTGACTCTCTTCCGCAACATGTCTACCAAGTGGTCATTCAGCTTTATGTGACGACGCCACTGTCTCTTGAGGAAACCCATTTGACCATTAGATAGATCCTCTTCCTCTCCTAAGCAAGAAAGCTGTCCAGGCCTTCTCTGTGCTTTTGGCGATTCTAATATACCAATAAATATTCTGGAACTTTAATGCAGAACACAATCATAAACTTTCAAGGTTCTTATAATTCGCAGGAGGAATGTGCTCTAAGCGTTATATGGTTTGGTTTCCTTTTAGTCCTAGGTGGGGATTTCAACTCCAGCTCGTTTGTCATAGAGAAAAGAAGCCGGATATAGTTGTTGAGTATGTAGCGGTACATATGATACTATCTATTGTACACATTTGCATGGCTCCTCTTCAGGATGACTTCAGGATTAATATGTTTCTTCATAAACATGTCAGGGTTGTCTTGTGAAATGTGTTAGGGGAGTGCTGAGATAAGACTTTAAGCCTCATGGGTCACCTCCCCTATTCGAGGTCAAACTAGAAGGGATATACTGTCTGCAGGGAGGATAGCTTAAGTTTTACATGACATGACAGTCTTCATAAGGAAATGAAGACTCAAATAAATGGCTATACCTGAGTGTCTTTATGCTAGGTTTCATGAAGAATGGACACTCATGGAGAAATATGATAGGGCAAAAAAGCACAATCTAATGGTAATAAGCTGGGGGACTGAGGCAAGGTCTGTTGCTCATATTCCTCTCTGTGTATCTGTGTCTTCAGAGATAAGGATGCTCCTTTCCTGCAGGTATTGCAAGGGCATCTCTCATAAGAGGGTCTTATGAGCTGCTTCAGGGGAAGGGCAGAAAATCGTTTCTAGGTTTTATGTCCTGCTTCAGGGAAGAAGGGCAGAGGGAAGGTGAGAGTAACCTTCCTGCTTCTGCCATTTTCTCACATTCCTTCAGCTGAAAATATTCAGTGTGTCAAGCTGCCATATTTTAAGGTAGTGTGCCCTGAAGCCCATTATTATCAGAATATCCCTAAGAGCTTCTCCAAGAGACCATGATTGCCTGAGAGGAAGGAGATTGAGAGATGGGGGATAGGATGAGATAGAGACTTCATTATTATGTACTCTTGAGTGTTCATTAAACTGTGTACATACGCTTGTGTTATCTATACAAATTTGTTAAATTTTGAAACATTAACAATTTCAAGTTTTAACTTATAGGTATATAATGGCAAGCCAGTGAAATTTTTTTGAAGAAGAAGAGTAAAGCATGTAATTAGATGAGTGTCACAGAAAGACAAGTGTCGGCAATGTGGAAAATGACCTGGGTCAAGGAAAGAGCAAGTTTCAAGGAAATAGAAGCTGGTCAGCAAATGTCAGATGATTTAGAAGAATTAGAAATGGGAATGAAAAAAGAAATTTGGGTTTATCAGTTACAAGGTTGATTAGTTTCTTTTGTGAGAATAAGTTTAAGAGAGTGGTGGGCAGCAACCAGACTGCCATAGATCGGCGAGTGAATCCAGTGATGCAGTAGAGATAAGAAACTTTTAATGGGAAGTGAAAGTTGAAGTAAGGTTGTATTTTGATCATGCCTGTCTGGTATTTCCAGACAGGTCAACTAGTATGAGAGCACTGGTCACAGATCCAATCAGTTACAATTTGATTACTTACAGAATGTCTGATGCTGGCTGCTTGTTTCACTTCAGTAACATTTACTTCAGGAGTTCAGTTTGCTCATCAGTAAACGGAGGCTAATTGGACTACCAAATAGCAGTCCATAGCAGACCCATAGCAGGTCTCTTTTAGCTCTCACACTGGGGGACTGACGGCTGACTAGCATGTGCAGTTGTCAAGATCATGGGTTTGGAGGCAAGCAACCTGGGTTTTAATTTAGATTCCACCCTTTATTGGTAATGTGATTTGGAACAGGTTACTTAACTTCTCTATACTTTGGTTTTTCAACTCATAAAATGAGGACAAAAGTAGTAACTCACAGGGTTATTATAAGATTAAGTGTAAAATATTTTGCAAAACTTAAGCTTTTTAAGTGCAATAAGCACTTAAAAATGAAAACTGTTTCAGGGAGGATTTAGTTCAACTACATTTAACAGACAACCTCCAAATCTGTGCTCATATTAAAAAGGGGCTTATTTTCCTAATGTGAAAGAAGTCAGAAATGGGCAGTTCATGGTAGGAAGCACCACAACATCATCAGGAATTCAGATTCCTTCTTTTTATCTGTTCCATCATTCTTAGTATATCATTTTCATTCTCAAGCTTACTTCCTAGTTGCAAAATGATTGCTGCAGCCCCAGGCATTACATTCATATTTCAGGAAGCTGGGAAAGACACAAGGCAAGGACAAGGAAAAGTCTCCCAGCTGAGTCAGCCCTCTCTAAAAGCTCCTGGACTTACCCAGTGACTTCCGTTTACATCTCATTGGCTTTCCCTACATAATGTCTCCCCAACATAGGGGTTCTGGTATTGGAAAACAGGACTATCATGATTGCTTTTATTTAACTCTATAACCACTGACCACATTATTCACAAATCATGCCTCAAGATTCTGTTTTTGGTTTAAGTTTTTTTTGTTACTACTGCTACTGAAATTATGAAAACTAGTAGACTCTAACTGTCATTTAAACCTCAGAGAATTGAAAAACCTCAAGAAGTTTAACCATTACAGGGCTATGTGATTTTTAGCCTTTTGAGACCAACTACAAAATCAAACTAACATCCGGTATCATTATTTCCTATCTTACATGACAGTCTGATTTTTGAAGTAAGAAATGTGACTGATTCTAAAAGAAGAGAGAATGAACCAAAACAATTTGACAAAAAATATCTAACAAATTAATTCTCATCAGTTTTATTGTTAGTGATTGCATTCACTGTTGTGGGATTTAGAGCTAAAGCACAAACACATAACACTTTAAAATGTTCCATGTCTTCTTTTGCATCATTACGGAAACATCAACCAGGAAGGAAATTGAGACAACACAAAATTATCTAATGGATATTAAGAACCACAGAGTACCACCCTTTTTTAAGTCTGAATTGCACCAGTTATATCAGTCTCAGGTAATTGACTATAATGAACAATAATCTAATAAAAGTTTTTATAAAAGTTGATATGTTGCATATGTTATTATGTAATCTATCTTTCCTGATGCTGTTTAATTCTTTCCTGCATCGACCTGACTGACCAACCTACACCCTTCAAATCCGTATTTTCACAAGCGTGTGATAGGGAAGACTAATGTCAGGTCTTGCACCTAAATGGAAGTTCTCTGCAATGCATTACTCTCACTCCCTGATCCTGCCTTTCAGTCTCTCTGTTAATCACTCTCTCCCATCTATGTTAAGCCTTTTTAGGCAGAATCTTTCCTATCATTGACCCTCCTCTGATAACCCATTTTGA